CTGAAGTCACCCTTCGCTGGATCTTTTTGACCAGCAGCCATTGTAGGAACAATGAGTTTCTCTCTCGAGATCTTGTTTTTTGGTCAGAGAGCATTTTTGGAGATCTCACTCCTGCCTGTCTGTGTCATCGCCTCCACCCAAGTCAGCAACAAATGCTTATAGAGACCTGCATCCCTCCCTGGGGCTCCCACCTGCTATCCCAGACTCCCAGAGCAGGCTGGTTTCTGGGTTTGTGCCCTCCCTCCAAGCATACTGTTCTGTCCACTGCAGGATGGTCACATGAGGCTGCTTCAGTGTCCATGGAGGAACAAAAGCATTAATTTCCATTTCTTCCTACTCAGGCCCCCCAATCGCCATTTGACCCATCACCCCATCTCTGAGCATGAGGTCCTGAGGTGCTGGGCCTTGGGCTTCTACCCTGTGGACATCACCCTGACCTGGCAGCGAGTTGGGGAGGACATGGCCCCAAGAAATGGAGCTTTGAACACCAGGCTGGGAGTAGGGGGAATGGAAACTACCAGAAGTGGGCGGCTGTGGAGGTGCCTTCTGGAGAGGAGCAGAGATACACATGTCATGTGCAGCATGAAGGCCTGATTAGTCCTGAGATGGGGTATGAAGGGAATGTGGCACAAAGGCTGACTCGGGGCCATCAGAAGCCCTTCTGGAGACCTTCAGAGAGTCAGACCGAGGCCTCAGGCTCAGGGTCTGACCTTCCCTTCCCTTCCAGTGCCACCTCCTCAGTTCTCCATCCTTGCTGTGGTCCTCAATTCCGGCTCTGTTTTCTTTGTTGGTGTGCTCATTGCACACAAGGTGGTTCATATGTGAGGGGGTAGAAGAAGTGCTCAGGTAGGGAAGGAGTGGGGGATCTTGTCCACTGGGGGCTTTCATGTGCCAGAGAGAATTGGCCTGCCTGGTTAATGGGAATTATCATCCACACACACGGGTGTTGCCCAGAGGGCATTTGGTCCAGTCCCCCTTCATCTCCTTTCCTCATTTTTCCCAGTCCTGACCTGGGACTTTACTCACAGTTCTGGAAACTTCCCTGTGGTGCAGGATTAGAAGATTCCTTTAGTTAGGCTTCTGACCTGACTACTCCCTGGTCTCACCTGATGCTTCTTCCCACAGGAGGACAAGGAGGAAGCTACACTCAGGCTGCAAGTAAGTGTGGTCAAGGCTTTGATCCCTGAGCCCTGGGAATGGTGTAGATGGAGCCCATGGGGGAGTCACTCTCATCAGTTTCTCCTGTGGTCTCCTCTCCAAGTTTTGTTGTGTTTCCCTGGGCAGCCACAGTCCCTGTGCTCTGAAGTGTATCTCCGCCCCTATAGGTGAGACCATGGAGAATTGCAGTGGGGGTGGGGATTGAGGCAGAGAGGCTGGGACTATGTAATGGGGATGCTTTTCAGGACATCTTGGGAATGCAGTGGACCATTGATAATGTTAACACTCGGGTAATGAGGGAGCTGTCAGGGGTGAAGATGCCACCACATCCTAGCAGGGGCCAGTGCAGGAGGAGGGTCCCGCCCAGTTTCTTACACCTCAAGCCAACCATGAGGTATTTCTAAACCTCCTCCTCTTCTGCAGGTCCAGTGCTTTTTCAGTCCCACTCAGAAGCTTCTTCTCCATGGAATTGTATTTATTGGGTGTTGTTCTGACACTCTTTACACTGTGTGAGATTTGAATTACTTTATTCTGGGGCTTGATGTTAACTGACTTCCATCATTTTATATTGTGTACCCTGTCATTCTTGTTACACACACACACACACACACACACACACACATTCCCCTCTCCTTGGGAACCAGCCCCTCACTCAGCACTGGGTTTACTCTGACTCTCTGTCTCTGGTCCCCTCAGAGCCGCCCTCTCTGCAGTGTCTCTACTCAGCGGTGTCTGAGCAGCCCCAGGAGTCCCTGCACCTCCTGCCTCTGACCTTGTGGGAACCAGCCCCTCACCCTGCATGACAGTGAGGAGGCGAAGGCCAAGTCCTGAGATCAGTGACCAATGGAGGAGACAATTTACGTTTTCTTTTCTTTTTCCCCTCATTGTATTATTCAATTGAGGTTAGCATTGGTTTACACACTGCATGTGTTCAGAGGCAAGGGTCACATCTCTTCAGATGTTTGTTACCAAATCACACCCACCCAGGGCACCCATAGTCTTCA